TGCTCACCCACAGCTCCAGGAACGTCCCTGCATTGCATCCCTCTGGTCCTCAATGGAGGAAGGATGGGGCCTATGGCACAGGGCTCTCCTCTACTCTCTGCCTGCTGCCTTCCTGCCCTGCTGTCAGATCCTTCTCACTTCAAAGTCTCTTGCTGTCCAAAGTAGGTGCTCAAATCAGCCCTGGAAAGGCTGAGCACACAATGCCCTTTCCTGACTGAGACATGCCAGTAGACTGAAGAATATGGCACTTTGGAGAATGAGGCCTCTCAATGTGACATGGTAACCATGCAGAGGTGTGAGCCCATGCCAGGGAGCAGAGTATCATAATCTGAGCCAGGGGAACAAATATTCACATTCTGCCTTTGTTCTGTTGGGTGGCCAAGTGCTTTCTGTCCAGTGTCCTCCTTGGAGATGCTCAGAAGTCACCTGGACACGGAGTTGTCCTGGGCAATGGGCTCTTGGTGACTCTGCTTGGGTAGGGAGGGTTGCACCAGATGATCTTCAGAGATAGCTGCCAACAACAACTCTTCTCTGATTCTGCTGCTCTAATATGACCTGCTATGGAAGGAAACGTGCCCTCCCAATAAATTCCTCTGTGCATGCTTCTCCTTCCCTTCCCCACAGGCATTCCTGCCCCTGCTGAAGAAGGCAGCCCAGGGGAGCCCGGGCTCGGGGATGAGCTGCAGCAAGGCAGCCATTGTCAACATTTCCAGTAATGGGGGTTCAATCAAAGAAGTGTATTTATGGGAAGGCATTCAAGCTGCCTGTTATCGCTGTAGCAAGGTATGTGCCATGTTGAGCCTCAGTCATTCCTTCTTCTGTCTGCCAGGGACATCATGACACCTCTTGTATCATCTTTGACAGACTCTGAATCTCTCTGCTGTGGCTGACTCCTGACAGTCCCTACACTTCACTCACAGCACATTGCCCCAGTCTCCACCTGATCCCTATGTTGGTTTCCCACAGGCTGCTCTGAACATGCTCACCAGGTGCCAGTCCATGGGGTACCGGGAACACGGCATCTTCACTGTTGCTCTCCATCCCGGATGGGTGCAAACGGACTTGGGAAGTGAAGGAGGAGCCAAGGTAGGAGCTTCCCCACGCTGTCCCCATCCACAGCCCGTGCTGGTTTCCCATGGGAGGCCGCTGTCTCCCAGAGCCCTGCCCCAAGACCCCCTCAGGGGGCTGCTCCGTCAGCACCATGGCAGCTCTCCCTGCCCTGGGACCCCTGCGCAGCGCCAGCCCTGGTTCCTGGCAGCCCCACCGCCCGCCTTCCCAGCTCTCAGCCTCCTCCCAGGGCTCTGCTTCCCCCTCGGCCCAGCCGCTGCCTTCCTGCAGCCAGGCTCCAGGCCACAGCCTGGGCAGCCCTTGGGCCACACGCCTGTGTTTCTGCCTCTGCCCTGCAGCCCCCGCTGACGGTGGATGCCAGCGTAGGAGGGATGATGAAGGTGCTCTCCAAGCTCTCCGAGAAGGACAGCGGGACCTTCCTGGACTGGGAAGGGAACGTTGTGGCCTGGTGAGGTGCTGGCCTGACCTCGTGCCTGGATCCTGGCAGTGGCCCCTCTGCTGCTGCCCGACTTCTGCTACATCCTCAATAAACCCATGTCTGAGAACAGCAATGCTCTTGGCTCCATCACAGGCCACAATAAGCTCTGTGGAATCACATGGAGAGCAGCAGCTTCCCAGGCGTGTTCCACTCCGCATTTGTGTGCATCAGCATCCTCTGCTCCCAACCACAGCTACT